GAATGCCACAGGGAAATTCAACCCCCAGAAGCATTTGCAAGCATTGAAGGCACCAAAGGAATGAAATGGCTCATGGGCTTGTACGTTCTACAACAAATGTTGTAAAACCAGAACTCATTAGTTTACTGAACACTGTTGATCCCTGGCATTGATGAAGCTCCTTAAGAAATAATCAGTATGGCTGTACAACTCAGACTGTGCAGCAGTGCCTACAGTCATGTACAAACACCAGATTTTAAAAATACCCAGAACACTTCTTAGTGTTACTGGGGTTTTTCCAGTGCTGGCTGCTGCTCTGCCATCCCTTCACATCCCTGATGGAAGAGTTTGATTACTTTTATGAGGATAAACATTCTCCCTTTTCCTTTTAAATGGACTAAATTCTTTTTAAGCAGTTAAAAGCGTAAGAAAAGGTTTTATAAGTGCTATTGGAAAAATCTTCTAATCTCATTTTTGGAGGCTACTTTGTCAATCTATAACATTAGGTGTTACCTGGTTTTATACTGCAAAGCTACATAGTTGGGGTTTTTTTTCCCCTTGTTACAAGGGGGAATCATTTATAATTTTGCAAGGCTAACCAAGACAGGGCTAAATAGTTTTTGAGAGACTATGAATATTTTACCCCAAGTTATTGTACAAAATAAGAACAAGACTCTAGTTATTTTGTTACAAAACTATACAGTAGAAAAGTTAATTATTAGAAAGTGCATGAGGCAGCACTAAGGCTTCAGAGGCATAAAGGAAAGACTAACATTTCCATTATGTAAATGAATTCAAAGATATCTCACAACTGATCAGCTAGGAGGGACATAATGATTTATAATTCAAATAACTGAGCTTTGAAATCAAATTGGGCTAATGTATTTTGAAATATGCAAAACCTGGAATAACTGGGAAAGTCATGCAAACCATGAGACCAGCTCCAGTCATTTGGTGCCTTTGTTGGTGAAACTGTCTTATGGGTTTTACTACTTTTCTTTTTTTCCTTTTATTTAGTATAGTTGCTGGAATTGTGGTTTGCTTTTCATTCTAGATTATCCTTTAGAAAATAATACACATAAAAAAAGAAAACCCCCGTATTTATAGGACTGTAGAAGCTGATTGACACACAGGGAAGTACTGAAATTAAATAAATGACTATTTTAACCTTTCAGGCTAGCCACAATTTCATCTCTATCAAATACTGAAAATTGATCCACTGGATCCAGCATCTTAACAATACACTCATTCAAAGCAATATCTACTTAATGCCTTTAAAAAAAACCCCTAATACAATGTGAAAAGGCCAAAGTTTGCAATGCCAGGAAGTAGTTATAAACTACTTCATATGTTTGAAATAAAAAGTACTTCAGTATTATTATTAAAAAAAAACCCTATTGGTAGAGTTTTTTATAGGAAAAAAAATACATACCTTTAAAAGCCAAAATGACCAGTGAAATTGGGTTGTACATCATTTTCTGGGAAAAAGGAAAAACAGCCTCGACAGGTGTAATTTATCATTTTTCTGATTTAATACCAAAGAAATATATTAAAATAATAAAAAGAATCCTGAAATCCTCAAAATTTGTAGTGATAAATAGCCCTCCCTGTCTTTATTGCATTATGCCTACTAACAGAAATATTGCATGGTGGATTTTGCCAGACAAGGACGATTATTTTCCAATAAAAAGTTGCATATTAAATTCCAGCACAAAAGTGGGTGTCTAATACTTTTGAAATCTTCTATGGTTTGGCAGGGAACACAATTTTAAACTTAACTAATACAACATCAGGGTGAAGTGAAGCAGCATGAAAGCCCTGGTTGTACAACCCCACCCATCTGAGGAGAAAAGCTGCTGTCCTCAGAATTTTCATTTGAAGTATTTCCATTGAAAAAAAAAAGACTTTTTTTGGTATTTCTGGTTTCAGTTCATCTCTCTTTTTTGCAGCCTTTCAACATTCCACATGGATCTTGCAGATGTATATTCAGGAGGAAGTGCTGCTTTACATCCTGACTGCACACAGGGGGGTCTGACTTGTTAGCAAGTTTCTGCAGAGACAAAACCCCAATTTCATCACAACTCTGCTCTTCAGGGGAACTGAAGCAATTCCATGTATACTTTTTCATCCTTTCTAGGTCCTGATATTATGTTGATTTCATGAGCAGAAATTAATTTATTGCAAATATAACTTGAATAATTTGAAACTGAAAACTATTCAGACATTGGAGAAGTGTCATTTGCACCAACAGTTTATCCTGTCCCTCCCTTTTGAGAGCCACCATGTGAATACAGGCTTTTGGAAAAGGAAGACAAGAGGAAAGGCAAATGCTTGTTGGCTTTAGCAGCAAGATGAGGCTGATTATTTCAGCAAGTCCAGATGCATAAATGGACAAGCAGGCACTTTAGGTTGGGTACAACATGTCTTGGGTATTTTGAAAGTGTTTTGAACCCCACCCCCTACTGAGCAATAAGTGCACAGTATAAAAGAGGAGAGAGCTCATTAGTCTCTTCATAAATCTGAAGAATAAAATAAATGTCTCCCCTTTTGTTTTTGTCAAATTCCTTAGCAATGTTTCACTTTAAGTGCTTTCCAGTCCTATTTCTCTGATGCCAGGAGAAGATAAACACATGCATATTTAAAATGTCAAGTTAGCTGCTTAATGGTATTTCAAATAAACATACAGAGGTACACATTGTGTGATTTTCATTTAACAAAATTCACTTATGGAATGTGGAAACCCACACTCATCTTTCAACCCAAGGAAATATATTAAAATTCTTCTTACACAATTAGACTTCTATGGAGAAATAAAATGATACCAATTGTCAGATTCCAGGTGCCTTCCCCTCTGCTTGTCTAACAATCTCCTCTAGAAAATTACTGAAAAGTTCTTTTTATTTTAGACTAGTGAAACATTTCAATATTGAATAATTTCATGAGCCCTGGTGGTTTAGTATCTGTCATATACTTTTCAATGTTGTGTCACATCAAAACCAGCTACTGCTTTTTTTAAAAATCTTGCTCCACTGACTCAAAATTCAAAGAGCTGACATATTTATCCAACTCCTAAGTAAGTGAACATTAGAACAAGATTCAAACAACAGATACTGCAACTGGAAGCAAGTTAGCATCCACCATCTGGGGAAGAAATACACAAAAATACTTGAACCCAGGCCAAAATGCACGTGCACAGCCATGGCTGCTTTATCAGCAGTCATGAGGTCACTGACACTGTCAGGAACATAGAATCAGATAACAATGAAACATGCAAAGAGGTTCTTGCGTTGAAAATCTAACTCCTGGTTCATATTTTAATGCATCCTCCAAAGTAGAACACACCCTGTTCTCACTATTGGTGAGCTCAGCAATGGTGCTGACTCCAAGGTCAGGAACAGGACAGACAGCCATAAGCAACTGCAGGATTCCTCTGTTGTTGCTAAAAAGGAGGTGGAAATGAGCCCACCTTCAAAACAGTATTTATAAAAAAAGATAAATCAAGATGAATTAATAGTAATATCCTAATTGGTTTAAAAATGTGGCATATGAAACAATGGAACTCTCATGTTATGTTTTACCTTATTATTTGTGATAATACCTTCTGCCATATACAATAAAAGGATATCCAACAGAAAGGTCATTCAGAAACTGAAGAGTTCTTGAAATCACAGGCTCACACCTTCCCTGGAATTTAAGGTTTGTGACACTAGAAGAAACAAAACAAAAGGGTGAGATTTTAACAGACATTTTCCCCTTTTTGAGAGGTGCAGTGCAAAAGCTGAGGGTGGCAGTGCATCCTCCTCTGCCTGTGTTTCTGTGACAGGGCTCAGGATTTTCCATCCCAGTGTCCTTTTTCTGACCAGGAGGTGCAAACTTTGTTGTGATACTGTAAAAATACATTCATTTCAAACAAATCCATCATCTGTCATAATGACAGAAATTATCTGAAGCTTAACCCTACTTGTACCCATCTCATTTTCCAACACAGTACCTGGCCACTTCATTTCTGTAGTATTTATCTGCCCAAACCTTCACCAGATCAGAACAAACTGCTATTAATTCCCTAGGAAAACTTCCATAGGAGAAATGGGGCACAGGAAAACTAATGATGGAGCTGCCAATTTACTCAATCCCAGGGAAACTCCACCTTGCAGTTCCTGTACTAATTCTTATTTTTCTTCTTCCTTACACCAAACAGTGCAGTCGAGCTACACGGGGGATGCTGCACTTCCCTAACTGCAGCCCCTCTCAGCCACAGGCATTTAGGAAGCACAATGATTACTGAACCAGGGATGATACAGGATAACCCTGGGTCTGTTACCAATGCCTGGGGAGCACACACTGTCTCTCAGTTAACACCAGGTGATGAAGACTTGGCTCTACTACCTTCCAACAGGTTTAGCACGAGCCATGAAGCACAGAGCCAGGACCTTCTCCAGCCTCTCCAGTGCAGGTCAGGGCAAAGACACCTGAGTGACATGGGATGCAATCTGTGCAGTTCACCTACTAGATATATTAGGAGGTGAAGAGGTGGCATTAACCTTCAGGTGAAAGGGGTAAAGTCGAGGCAGTAAAGTGGAGGAACATAATGTTTTTTTCTAAAACAAGGAGCAGTTATAACAATGAGTCACTCATCTTGTAGTCTGTCATCTTCTACCTTTCTTATGGGAATGTCACACAGGCCAGTGTGAACAATCTCACTGAACTCTGAGTGCCTCATACATACTGGTTCTGCTGTAATCTCCAGTCAGTAAGTCCAAGAAGACAATACCCTCTACTCGCCTAAGTAGCCCAAATACATCTATCACTTCACTGTACACTGACTACTAGTAACATTCTCTACTACTCCTTTGAGAATCCAAGTTGGGCTGATCAGCCTTTAACAAGTCGCTTCCTCTTAGTTCCCTTTTTTCTCCTACTCTTCTGGAATATCCACCATCACCCTCACTTGCTCAAAGACCCAGAAGAAAGCTCCCTTTCCTCCAGGCAGGGAGATAAAACTGCATGGAAGAATCACCTCAGAGTTTCTGGTGTTGGATTCATCTGGAGAAAGAAGAACAGTCCACCACAGGCTTTTGTAACACAGCCTGTTGAAATTCAAAGGAGAATTAATTCCTGGCTCAGAAGCCCTGCAGCTCTTCCTGATGGTGAGACCTAATTGCTAAGGGGTATCTGAAATTGCCAGGTGAGAAGAATAAGTGATTTCAGATTTGTATGCCTCAGTTTCCTTATCTGTAGAGTATGCATCATGGTCCTGATTTAAGCTGTCAGGTCTTTTGATGAAAGCCCACGATGCAGGAGGTATAATCATCAGTCCCAGCTATTTATACCATGAGGCAACAGGATTTCAATTTTGGGGATATAAAACCCAAAGAAGAGTTGTTAAATGCCTTAAAATCAGTATTGATCATTGCTTTTACATATTTACAGGCTAAGGAATGTACTAAACCACATACACTAAGTCTCTTTTTCAGGAAGTTATGAACTCAAGGATGCAGTTTAAGACATAACACTATTCAGTATTATTTGCTCAGGAGAAGGCAAATAACAACACAATTACCAAAGCAGTATTCCTCAATTTAGATTTACAAACAAATGTTTATTTACTTTATAAAACCTCTATGAAGAGCTACAGAGGTTCAGCTTGCCTTAAAGGAATAGGCCATCCTGGCAAGTCCATAATTCACAGTTTAGCCCTACTATGGGGAGTTCTGGAGATGTTTATAGTTGCACTAAATTCTTAACAAGTATCTACCACACACAGAGACAGAAATGAATTTGGACTACCCAGATCTGACATCAACATCATAAAAAAGGTTATTTTGCAAAAGAGCAAAATCTTTGTCCTTCACTAGCCAAATATAAGACATTTCAAGAAAAACAAGAAGTCAGCAACAGCCTGGAGAGAAAATTAAAACTGTATAAGGAAGGCTCTTCATCCAACACCCAGAGTACTTTTGTGCACATCTATTCTTTCAGTTTGTGGTTGTATTTGGATGCTGAAAGATGGAGTAATAATATAAAAGCTAGAAAGTACTCCTGAGTGAAGAAAGGCTGAAAAATTTCAATTATAATGGTAGTAATTCCCATTTCTGTTGTTGCTTCATCAATAACACGCAAGATGAAAGACACATAAAAAGTAATATTTTAAGAAAGATGTACAAAACATAAGTAAAATTTGGAAAGATTTAAAGAGGAATCTCATACAAAAAACAGATTTCCACTATGCAAGGAAGAGAAGCCAAGGGATGAAGGGTGAATTTACAGCTCTTGGAAAAATCACGGCAAGACAGCACTTAAATCCAAGTGCTATTTTTCTTGCCTCTCTCTCTCCCAAGTGGCTTATTGATTTAAAATATGAACTTAATGAAACAAAGTCAAAGGAACTAATCATAAAATTTCAGATGAGTCACAGAAAATAAAAGCCTCATCAAAAGCTACACCAATCCCAAATTCACCAAAACATCTCTGGGAGATGAGCACTGAACATATTTTAAAAGCAAACTGTGTTCACACTGAAGGAACTGCTCCCAGCTTAGCCCTCCCTGAACCTACTCTGCTGTTGTTACAGTGCTGAGCACAGCTAGGGAGGCTTAAGATGCCTTTTTTTGAGATTAGGTATTTTTTCAGTTGGCTTTTCCCCTCCCTCACATATACACCTTGCAAGGTGGTGGCCAAGGCAAGCAAATGCAGTGGATGCTAAAAGAACTATCCAAAAAAATGTCTGGTAAGACTAGGATGAAAATAAATCCATTAATGGATATTCTGACTACAAGAAACCCCATCCCTTCAGAAATGGTTTAACAGGACTTCAGTAAAAGGCACATTCATTAACTTCCAATGAAAAGGTGATAAAAGGTCTGGCTCCTGAAGTGACAGTAGTACATCAAACTACCATCAGAAGGTCTAAAGGACACCTATTACATTGACAAATCTCAAAATATGTCTGTACTTTGAAAAATATTATTTCATACAGCCTTTAATCCAGAATTTGAGCAGTGGTACTGCAGCTACTAGTAGCTGTAACACAAATATTTAAAATTGTTTTCACGTAATGCAGGAACTCACTGAGCTTGATCACCGAAGCTCCTCTGCAAAGCTGCTACTAATAAATTCAAAACACATTAAAGCTACAGAGATGAAAATGAACTAAAAAAAAAGAGAGATCTCAGAAAGGCAGCTCTAAAGAAAATGTGAAGAAAATTTCAAGAAATCAAAGCAAAATCTCATTTATCCATCTAAACACCAGTGAGCTCAGATGAGACTTCAGAAAACTAGAGACTCTGTGTCAGCTATTAAGTTATCACAAAAAAAGATGATATCTCTAACAGCAGAAAAACAAATAATTAATATGTCCTGATGACTAAAACTTGGTTGACTATGTTTACTCCTCACACACAGGATAACACACTTCCTGCTTGCATCCTTCACTGGATTATTTAGTGGCCAATTGGATGAAAATAACCTGACATGGTCTTTTGCTCATGGTGCTAATGGCAGATTATCATAGAATCATAGAACTATCCAGGTTGGAAAAGCCCCTTGGGATCACCAAGTCCAACCATCACCCCTATGTACAAAGTTCTCCCCTAAACCACATCCACCAACACCACATCCAAACAACCTTTACACACATCCAGGGATGGTGACTCCCCTACCTCCCTGGGCAGCCTGTTCCAGTCTCTAACCACTCTTGCTATGAAAAAAATGTTCCTAATGTCCAGTCTAAACCTCCCCTGTTGCAGCTTGAAGCCCTTCCCTCTTGTTCTGTCTCTAATTACCTGTGAGAATAGACCAGCACCAACCTCTCTGCAATGACCTTTCAGGCAGTTGCAGAGACTGATGAGCTCTCCCCTCAGCCTCCTCTTCCTCAAACTAAACATTCCCAGCTCCTTCAAGTGCTCTTCATCAGATTGATTCTCCAGGCCTTCACCAGCTTTGCTGCCTCCTCTGTCCTGGCTCCAGCACCTCAAGATCTCTCTGGAATTGAGGTGCCCAAAACTGGACCCAACACTCCAGGTATGGCCTCACCAGTGCTGAGTACAGGGGGGCAATCACCTCTCTGCTTCTGCTGGTCACACTATTTCTTATACAATCCAGGATGCCATTGGCTTTCTTGGCCACCTGGGCACACACTGGCTCAAGTTCAGCCTCTTGTCAGTTAGAACCCCCAGGTCCTTTCCTGCCAGACACTTCCCAGCCACACTTCCCCAAGCCTGGAGCATTGCCTGGGGTTGTTGTGGCCCAAGTGCATGATGATAAGCATTATGATAAGGTACTTGCTTCAACATTTTCTGATTTGAAAATCTAGTTGCCATTAACCAGGCAACAATAATCTTTCATGCATAACTCCTCTATTTCACATAATGCTTGACATTAATGAAACAGAAACGACACCCTCAGACATGGTTGTACAGCTGCTATATGAGAATATCACCACTTTAACAGGAAAGCGTGCCATAAAAATTCCCTAGTGTTTCCTTTTAACCTGATGTCAAGGAATAATGTAAGACAAATTTAACCTACCTAAAGGAAAAAAACAAGGATCTGTAGGGCACGACAGTAGACAAGTAGCTTTCTAAAATAACAGTGCAGTTAAAAATACTGACTACACCCACAAGAGAAAAACAGGGAACGGTCTCACAGCCCTGGATCCTGCCCACTGCTGTTGCCTATGTGCTGAGATGATTCTCAGGAAGAGAGCACCAGAACTGCTGCCAGAAGGAATTGCCCCATCAGGCCCCAGCTTTTGGATGATACATCAGTATGTTCTGGTTTCACACCCAGATTTTCCAACTGGCAGGCCAGCACTGGGGGGAAGCTCATTTCTTTTAATTGATGCAAACATGAATGTGTTTCCACAGCAGTTTCACAGCCAACTCTTACAACTCCTGACTGGATTGTCCATTTCAGGCTGTAGCATCCATTCTGTAAAATTAAATTGATCTTCCATCTAATCAATGAGCAATTCATGGTTTTAGGAAAATACAGCAGACCATGAGGAAAGAAAAAATAAAAATCTAATGTGTCATCTAACAAGCAGCACTGACTTCTGCTTTTTGCATCCCTTGTTTTCTTTTAAAATCTTCCATGTAAAATTAAAACCCTGTATCTTTTTCTTAATTTGCATTACTTGTGCAAATACAGCCCTACTCAATCTAAACACATATAATACTTATGATACAACCTGCTAAATGAAATACTGCTATTTCCCCAAGTGGAAAGGCAACAGAGATTTCATCTCAAAGGCAGCAACAAGCAGCAAGAGAGAAGCAAAGTGATGCATCTGGTCTCCAAACAACTGTTCTCTTTCCTCCCTTTTCCCTCTGTTGTTCAAGCTTCTCTGTAGTTTGAAACAACAAAATGAAGCCTGGCTGTCTCATACCATGACATGACTACTTCCAGAAACTGTACAATAATTATGCATCAATATTTTTCCATTCATCCCCCTCCACTTACCTGTCTCCAAAGCACATTCCAAAGAAATACCAAGGTTCGATGGGTACTATTGTTATTTTAAGGCAAGTTCTTGGAGGAAGCAAAGCATTTATGTCTTGTTTTCCACAGAAAAGTGAAGTCATATTAGCAAATGACCTTGTCTTGATTGCTGCTATTTCTCAAGGTTGGTAGTCATGGTAGCAAAAGACAAGTCAAGTTTAGTACTGTCTGAACAGGTCATGGCAACATCAGTAGGGATGTTTCTCTAGTAGGTCAAAGTCTACTGAAAGTACTTAAATGTCTTATAAGTCAGATTTAGAAGCGATGAAGTAAATGACAAGATGCAGCATCTTCCTCACTGTAAAGAAGTAAGGGACTTGTTTCTCTTTCTCTAGGCATGCACAGAACTCATTGTCTCCTGGGGACACTCAGATATTTTTTTAGTGGATATTCACAATTTTGCAGAGGGACCATTTTGCTTTCCTTCAAGAGCAAAACGGATTTTAGATGAAACTCTTTTTGAGACAGAAGAAACTATAAAATCTCATGAAGGACATAAGTAATAAAAGACAAAATGCTGGCAGCTTTGCTGGCACCCACAGAAAGCGGCTGCAGCAGAGGCATCAGAAAAAGGAAGCTTCTCCAGATTCATTTTTCTACAATTATTCTTTAGGGAAAATATTGTAACACCTATCTGTCAGAAGAGCACACCATCTTATTCTGCCAAATGCCAGAGATGGGAAGTTGACTGATCATAATGCCTCTTGTCTCCCTCAGTATAAGGCCTTGAAATCCTTCTCTGAATCTCTGTTTTTAAGAGAGCAAATTTTGACAGATCTTGCCAAACAGCAATCCAAGAGAGTCTCCTCAATACAAAAAAAGATTAATTTAACTTGTTCAGTTCTTCACTGGAAAGTACCATGAAGCTTTACGGGCAATTCCACTGACATCTGAAAGCCAGGAATGAAAAGTGGGAAGGTGGAGCTGGCTTCTGCCAGACTGTCCCTCAGCAAGAGTCTGTGAAATCTCAGCTTGGTTCTCCCATAAACCATTTCCAGAGGTGATGCAGTCACTGTGGAGGAGATGTCTCTGCAAGCTTTTATTTAGGGGCTTGCAGTACCTTCTGAAAATAAGATATTTGTGCTTCTGAAAGTGGTTATCCCTTACTTGCAATATTTTAAATTGTCATAAGACAATTTTCTAGCGAAGAGCAAACCTAACGACAAAATAAAACTCAGATTTTATGTAAACATTAAACCAAAATACACACAGAATAGAACCCAAGAGCAAACTCACATTTTGGTCATAAATGTTTCCAGAACATGGTTGTCATCTGTTATGCCTAAGACTTCTGACATTCGGGCATACACCTGGAAATAAACATTTCAACAGTAACATATCATAGACATTTACAAGTACCAACTTTTTCATTTATTCTAAAACTTTCCCTATTTTGATTTTACATGAGGAAAGTCCAGGCACAAATGCCTGCCCATCCAACCTAGCTAAAGCAATTGTGAGAGATGGCTTATACATTCCCCAACAGTATGTTGTGAGTCTGGCACTGATAACCTTGTACTCACCCTTGCATACATTTTTCTTCCCCACGAAGATGTAAATTTTCCACAATAAACTCTGTTGTTCAGAGAACAACAGTCTGTATTCAAAAAGCCTGTGTTGTTGTTTTTATTTAAAATAAAAAATTGCAAAGTGATGAAAAAAACATTCTTGCATTGCTCTCTGTCCTCTATGGGATGTGATTTAATCCTGGCCTTGAGCTTGATTTTGCAACTTCACACCCTGCCAGTTGTAAAATCTGGTAAATCTGGTACTCACCAGATATTAATTTTCGTGTTCTCCCAGGCTTTGGCAGCCACGTAACTTGCTTGTTGTTATACAACACTTTCCCCCTGCACTTCAGATTCAAGACAGAGATCACCAGCCAAGTTTTCCCAGCACCCAATCCATCCTCCTACCAGATCAAACTGCTCTTACTTACGATGCACTAACAAACACACAGGTCACATCAAGTATATTTTTCTTTAGAGTGTAACCTTAACATTTTCTGGTTGTTTCCGTAGCCTAACACTCAATTGGGATAAAAACATTGAGTTGGTTTAAATCAACTTCAGAAACAGAGGGGTGACACATACAGCAACATCTCTTTGCAATTCTCTGCCAACTCACTTGACCCTGAGCTCTAGTGACTCTGCAGTGGGTGTAGGACTGGGCTAGATGTTCACCTCCCAGTCAGTGCTGATTATTTCATGAACCTGGAGTGACACTGAGGCAAGCAGGAGGGTTATCAGTAACCCTTCCCTGGGATGTGGCAGGGCTGAGGCAGGAGCAGCACCACAGTGACAGCCGGGTGCCCTCTAGCTGCCAGCTGCTCCCTGACACCACTGGTCCCCCAAATTCCAGCGGTCCCTCTGGACTGCTGGGAATGCATCTACACCTGCTGGCACCAGCTTCCTTTCTGCTGGTCAGGGAATCCCAGGACCTTGCTTAAAAATCAAACCAGCAGAATTCTACCCCTGAGGAAGTCCATAGGAATAATACAAATAAGAAACACTACGATAAAAATTCTATTTTCATGTCCCAAAGACTTGAGTTTCATTGAAGGATAATAAAAGCACAAAGAAATTCACTTGCAGCTCTAACCAAAAACTGCACCAAGATCAAGGATAACTTAACTTGGAGGTCAACTTATCCTTTTATAAATGTCTGAATGTAATTCAGTGTGATAAAATCAACAGTGAAAGGACAATCAAAAGATGAAAAAATTGCAATATACAACTTGATCCTTCAAATTTTTCAAAATATTTTGTTCACACACTGTGTGAAGTTACCATATGTAGTAATTAAATATAGAAAAAAGGAATATATTCAAATATAAAAATAGTATCTTCTAATTTTTAAAAAAATATAATCTAATGAGTGCACTGCTGAAATGCTACAGCAGCTGCAACTTTGGCAAAGTGTAAGAATTTTTGTATTTGACATGAGAAAAAGAGAGAGGGAGGCAGCAGCGATGTCAACACTTCAGCAAAGCCACATTTTGGTTGGGATGTTTCCTTGCCTTCCTGCCTTCCTGCCTTCCTGCCAGGGACACCAGCGGGGGAAAGGGCTGAGGCAGCGCTGGGAGCCGCTTTGTGCTCTGTTGTCAAACTGGGCTCTCCCCACATCAGAGTTTAACAAATAAAATACTAAACCAGCAGTCAGTGTTGACAAAGAGCAGTGCTTTAATCCACAATTATCCTTGTAACTCCTACTACTCCTTTTATCATCCATTAGCTTTGATTCCCATTATCCCATCAAGAACTGTGTCAACGCTTTTGTCCCTGGGGATTTCCCACAACTCGGAGGATCTGACAGCCAAGCCTGAGTGCTAAGCAGGATCATTACCTCTTAAATCCACTTATCTGATCCACTGAATAGTAAATTGAAAAGCTCATTAACAGCAACAATCTGATTTGTTTTCACATGTGACAGGGTCATTTCAAGTCAGCATGAATACAGTGCTTGTAATAAAAACTACTACCCCTTCAGCTCCAAACTGTGACAAATTGTAAGCTAAAAGAATGGGCATCTTTTAAACACCTTCTTCAAAATCATTTTCAAAAACCAACGCACACATTTAGCACACAAAAATAGAAGAGCCAGAGAGCCCCCCAACCACAACAATGAAACGCCCTTAAGACTTTTAAGTGCTATTAAAAATTAATGAGAAAGCATTTTGGAGGTATAATAATAAAACACACTTCGACAACAAAGACCGTGCTACGTAGTCAAAAGGCAGGGAAAAAAATGACTATTGAAAGGGGGTTGTGAAAGGCTGTGGAATCACATGTGGGAGTGACCTCATCTTCAGCTTGGTTCCACCACGGAAGGCAGAGGCAGCCCAGGGCCCTCACACCCACTGGGTCTCCTCCATTCCCGACCTTCCCTGCCTCCTTCCAGCATGAGAAAACCCAAGGCTTGTGTTTTAATTCCCTCCAGGCACTTGAAGGAAGGAGCAGGATCATTAACTTTTTTGGTAGGAAACAAGCCCTTCAAGACTTCTGGAAAGCCTTGACACATTCATTCCCAAATCCTCACAACTGCAGGATTTATACCTTCCACCACAAGTCCTGCATCAACACAGAGCACTACACAGTCATGCCATGGTACCACCCCAGTGTAAGCTTTGCAGTAAAATATCCCATCATCACCATCTCATTCTTAAAATAGTTATGAACGTGAGCAAAAAAAGTGGTAACATCAGGCTACAAGGTTTGAAGAGCTTCACAAGTTCTCGAGGTCCCTAAAGGAAGCTGGGGCTGATACCATCATCACAGCTGATACCTACAGCACTGCTGTGCAGTCAGAGGGGACAGCAGTGGTCATGGCAGTGAAGGGAAAGAAGAGACCAGCAAAACACCTTCAATAATGATCAATAACATTTTCAAACATTTTCAAGAGAGCCAGAGATCCTTTTCTTTTGCCCTGTTTGTGCTACCAAAACCACCTCAGTGGCCTGAGGATGTTTAAGGAGGGCAGCAGGTTCACGAGCTCTGGTGCCAAGGAACTTTTGGTGATCTAGTAGATTTATCAGTCATTCAAATTACATCACCATATACTTTCCAAATACTTGAACTACTTGCTGCATTGTAAAAGGGTGGAAAAACAGAATTGTGGATGCAATGTTTTACAAAGCAAAGCACTTGTATGTAAATACAGTTGAAGAAAACAGAGAAATAATTCAGGAATAACACTAGAACTTAATTTCTCTGTCTTCACTACTCTTTGGCCCTAGATATCTTTAACTTTGCTTTGTCTTTTGAGGTCTTCTCTTTTTGGTACTATCGTTATAACTCTGAAGAAGCTAATTATGTCAATTCTTAAATGTGAAGCAGATTACAGAACTGGGAAGCTCAGAATATGAGTTCCTAAAGGTTGTATGGCTCTGTAATGACAGTCACAGAAATTCAATAACAGCACTGTATGGAATGTACTCAAACGCACCCCATGAAACAAATTAAAACAGAGCAATGAATCTCTCACACTGTGCAAATAAGAAAACGCACGAAAATGTTGGTTCCTATATGTTTCATAAGGGCTATTATAATGAATTAAGATTTTGGATAATGAATCTTCAGAAAATTACAGTGAAGTTATTACCCTTAGGCACAGCGTAAATGCTTAAGATATTATAACTTCCTTGAAGCTCTCCAGGCCTTGCTGCAGAGAACTATCACTGCAACATTAAAGTATTTTGTCATGAATATTGAGGGCAAAACCAGACCTTAACCGTATTTACCCCACCACACAGAAGCTGAGTGGGGAGAGCTGCTAGGAGCAAGCAGGTCAAGGAGCCCATCTCCTCGGCCACAGCGTGTCTGGGGATTCACACAACGCAGCACCAGCTACAGCCCATGTCTGAAGCTGCCACCCTACTGCTCTGACACTTTGTGCAGCACCCACTAAAACTCCATAGCCATCCCCAGTTTCTTTCTCCAAGTCATGTGCCATGATACATTTAGTAATTCCCACTGCTTTTTACATTGGAATCAGTGGTTTTGAATTTTTAGTGCTTAAAAGCTCTATTAGGGTGCAGCAGAAATCCAGCTTCCAAACCCCATTCCAAATCCAGACAACTTCTGAAAATCTGCCCCGAGTCCCCTGACTGGTGCATCAGGGTGCCAGATCATTCATCTTTACCTCCTGACCAAACTAAGGGCTTAAAAAGCCTTGGCTTTTCTATCTTCTCCATAGCAGAGGAATACCTTTGAAACTTCCATTCCTGACCAGCTGTCTTAAGAAGCTAATATCTCAAAAGACCCTTAATGCCATGTCTAAACCAGAGGCTGGGCTAATGTTTTCTTTTATAGTTACTTCCCTAAATGAAAAAGCTTCAAAAACAGGCCATAATAAATTGGCAGTTAAGTTTCAGCCAGGATCTCTGAAGATTAAGTTGGGCTTTGTGCTACATAAAAAGTAGGGTACTCTCCATCCACTGCTCGGGGTGTTTGTAAGCAATGACAGGAACAACATCAGTGACATAAATGATATGCTATTTACTGGCTCACCTATAAACTGAGCTTAATTAAAATGTTGCATAAAGCTGTCCTCAACTGAAAGAGACCTCATATAAAATAACATTTAAAGATTTGGGTAATGTTATTACAACTAAGGGTTATGTTTTAG